CACTTTATCATTTGACCTGAAGAGGTAGTGGTTAGCTTGTGTAAATAAAATCTGAATCCTGCAGTTATTTTAAAGGCGTGTACATACTTTTTTTGAGTATTTGTATTTTTTGAAATTGGTGAAATGTACATAACGTAGCATTAAGTACATTCACATTGCTGTGCAGCAGTCAGCACCACCCATCTCCAGAACTTTCTCATCATCCCATACGGAGACTCTGCACCCATTGAGCAAGAAGTCCCCGTCCCTTCCTCCCTCCTGTCCCTGGCGACTACCATTTCCCTTGCCGTCTGTGCATCTGAGTGCTCTAGGTACCTCATCTAAGTGGAATTACATGCTATTTGTCTTTCTGCGACTGGCTTATCTCACTTAGCATAATATTTTCCGAGTTCGTCCAGGTTATAGCATGCGAGAGGATTTTCTTTTGTAAGGCTGAAAAATATTCCACTTGATGTGTGTACCACATTTTGCTTCTCCTCGCGTCAACAGGCATTTGGGTCGTTTGCCCCTTTTGGCCATTGTGAATAATGCTTCTGTCAACACTGGCATACAAACACGTTATTTGAGTCTGTCCTTTCGGTTCTCTGTGTATATACCTAGAAGTGGAATTGTTGGATCAAGTGGTGATTCTGTGTATATTTTTTGAGTAACCGCCATACTGTTTTCCACAGCAACTGTATCATTTTACATTTCCAAAATAGTGCACAAAGGTCCCAATTTCTCCACGTCCACTTAACACTTGGTGTTTTCGTTTCTGTTGTTGTTTCGATAATAGCCATCCAAATTCGTGTGAAGTGGTGTCTTAGAGTAGTTTTGATTTGTATTTTGCACTAGTGATTAGCGATGAGCATCTTTTCATGTGCTTATGGGCCATTTGTATATCTTCTTGGGAGAAATGTTTATTCAGGTCCTTTGCTTGTTTTTAACACTGGGTGGTTCATTTTATGTTGTTGAGTATTGTTTTTTTTTTTAAAAAAATATACGTTCTGGATATTAACCTTGTATCAGATATTGTGATTTACAATTTCTCCCGTTCTGTGGGCTGCTGTTTTACTGTGTTGTTAGTGTCCATTGACCCTTCTCGACAATGAGCATGTATGGGTGGATTTATCTCTGGGCTCTCTATTCTGTTCTATTGGTCTACAGGTCTGTCTTTATGCCAGTACTATACTATTTTGATTACTGTAGCTTTGTAGAAAATTTTGACATTAGGGACTGTGAGTTCTCCAACTTTATTCTTTTTTAAGATTTGGCTATTTGGAGTTTCTTGAGAGTCCATATGAATTTTATTTCTGCAAAAAACAGCATTGGGATTTTGATGGGGATTCTATTGTATTTGTAAATTGCTTTGGATAATATTGACATGTTGACAACATTAAGTCTTTTAGTCTATGAGCATGGATGTCTATCTATTATGTCATGAATTTATCATTTGTTTTTTAGTGTACACCGTATAAGTCTTTCACCTCATTGACTAAGTTAATTCTTGAGTACTTTACTCTTCCTGTTGCTATCGAAAATGGAATTATTTTCTTATTTCAGACTTTTCATTATTAGTGTATAGAAATACAGCTGATTTTTGTGTGTTGATTTGTATCCTTCTATATTGATGAATTTGCTTATTCTAACAATGTTTTTGTGGAATCTTCAACAGAGTCTACATGTAAGATCACGTCATTTGCAAACAGATAATTATACTTCTTTCTTTCCAATTACGATGCCTTTTGTTTCTTTATCTTAATCGCTCTGGCTAGAACTTCCATTTCATTGTTGACAAGAAGCAGTGAAATCAGGCATTCTTGTCTTGTTTCTGATCTTAGAGGAAAAGCTTTCACCACTGATTATGGTATAAGCTGTGAGATTTTCCGATATGATTTTTACCAGGTTGAGGTAGTTTCTTCCCATCTCAGTTGGTTATTTTGTCAGAGAAGGGTATTGTATTTTGCAGATGCTTTTTCTGCATCATTTAAGATGCTCATGTTACATGTATCTTGGATCTTTTCTTCATGTTTCATAGTTTTTTCACACTCTTCTGTATTTCTTCTTGTGTCTTTTTGGGCTTCAGTATAGATATTTTCTTCTTTATTATCTTTTGGGTCACTGGTTCTTTCTTTAGCTATATCTGACCAGTTGTTGAACTCATCCACCAATTTCTTAATTTCTGTTTTCAAAATGGTACTTTTCTATTCTTTGTTTTTCATATTTTTAAGTATTCTCTGCTGAAATTCTTTTTTTTTTCTTTTTTTTTTAAAATTCTTTGAGCACATTAAATTATTTTAAAGTCCCCGTCTGATAACACCATTATCTGGATCTACTATGGGCGTATTTCTATTGCCATTTAAAAATTTTGGTTTTCAGTCAGATCTTGACTGGTTATTTTTTTTATTTTCAGACATTTTGTATAAAATGATAAGATAATTTGAATTTCTGGATGATACTTTTTTGCTGATAAGATTTACTTTTTCTGAAATCTTTTGAGAATATTTTACTAGCATGCAGGTAGGTTAATGGCATTAGGTAGGTCTGATTATCTCAATTCAAGCAGGGACTGAGGTTAGCTGAAGCTGTGCCTCCCTCTGTGTGGCCTGGTGTACACCTGCTTTACCTTTATACCTCAGGCATAGTCCTTTCGATTCCCTCCAGATCCCTGGTGTGTTTACTGGGGCTTTTCCTCCTTGGCAGGCCCTGGATCTAGTTTTCGCGTCCCACCCATAGATCCCTCGAAAGATCTGCTTAGCTTCTCAGCCTCTTAGCCAATAATTTAAGAGTCCGCAAATGACTCTAGGGGAAAAATGAGTCTAAAGTTTGGTTTCACCTGTTTCTTCCAGATCTCAGCTCTACAAATTCTCACTGTCTTGGAAGTTCTCCAGTGGTTTTAAATAGATGACTTTAGTTTTGCTGTTCTGGTTCTCAGAGTAAGGTTGGTTCGAAGCAGCCTCCTCCCCCACTGTCAAAAGCAAAATGCTCAGATGTATTCTAGAATTCAGAATTGTTAGATTGTACGAGAGAGTATAGTTCCTATGCCTTATAGGTGTCAGCATAACATCTCTGCAGTGAAATGTATGAATATTTATTTCGCCTACTGCAGTGCAAGTTTTCAAAATGGAGATTGGATGCAACGTGAGCTGTTAGGGAAAATGATTTGGAGTAAGCCAACTTCTATCGTTTATGTTGCAATCTGTTGAGAAAACAAACATTCTGTGGCACAGCTGCTTGTTTGCTTGGTTCCCGCCAGTGACTAGCCATCTTTCAGTTTCTCGTCGGGGTCTCCAGCCCCTAGGCTGTGGACATTACTGGTTTGTGGCTTGTTAAGAACTGGGCTGCATAGGGTGAGCCAGCGAAGCTTCATCTGTATTTGCAGCTGCTCCTTAGCGCTAGCATCACCGCCTCAGATCATCATCGGGCATTAGACTCTCATAGAAGCACTGGTCTCTGGTGCCAAAAAGATTGGGGACCGCTGCTAATATCCCCCGCTTTCCCTTGTCAGGCGGCTTTCACACATGCTATTCTCTCTGCGTAATACATTACCCTCATCAGGGTATATATGAGTATGAGACACATTCTCAGGCAAGCCTTCCCTGACTCATGAATTTAGGTCAGATAAAATGAACTTTTGAGTTTTGAATTACACAGATTCATTTATATGATGCTTTAATTAATGTCTGTAGGGGTACTAGACTCTGAACTCTGCGAGATTAGAAATCATTGCCTCTTTTTCTTGACCATGTTATCCAATGTGTCTAGTTCAGTATTTGAAAGCACATTTTTTTGCAAGTAGGTGATCAGTTAATACATTGTCAGTAGTTAATAGATGATCAATTAATGCTCTGTATGAATGAAGAAAGAATGAATGAGGGAAGATACGTAAGAAATGCCACGAGAGTGATAAGAATTGGAAAGCTCATTGTTTTTGAGCAAAAGCCAGATTTACTCAGACTCTGGATTTGTACAGTACAGTTGTACAGTACAATAGATATACATGCACAATGATTAAAATATTTCAATAAAATTCCCCAGAGAATTTATTATTGTGAATGTTTTAGCATTTGTCTCCCAGTCCTCCATAAATATTTTATTACATATGTTTGAAAGCACCAGGTTTTTGACACAACTGTCATTCAGAGCATGACAGATTATATCATTGCCAGTCATTCTATTCTAGAGATAGGTGGAATAGGAAATCCTTGTTTTTGAAAGATTCAGACTCAGAGGAAATGGAATTTATACACCCACCTCCACAAAGTTGGGTGCTCTGGTTTTTCTGCCGCGGTGGCGGGTGAGTGACAGGGAGGGATTGGTCTCGGCTTCATCAGGGAGATGGCATTCCAATTGAATCTCAACTGATAAAGAGTTCATTAATAGCCAAAGGACTAGTGATTTATTTAAGAGCATATTATTATGGAAGTATATAGTGTTTTTGTGGATAGACAAATAGTAATTTGCTATTACTATTTGTAAAGGTGGATTGGGGCTCTGCAGATTATTAGTTCATCTTTTGACATGGAGGCCATCAGAAGCTTTTAAAGATATTCTGTAATGTTTAGAGAAGTTGTAGAGCCAGGCACCATGAGTTCATATTCCAAGCTCTGCCCCTTATTTAATATCTCTTTGCCTCAGTAACCCCATTTATAAAAATGAGATAAACTGTAACTAATGCAGAACATTGCAATTGGGATCGAATGAGTTAAAACATAAGCAGGTACTCGGAAAAGTGCGTGGGACACAGAAGAATCCCAAGCGCTGGCTCTCGTCGTTGCTGCTGCCGTTGTATGCATTGAGAAAAACACTTTGAGCTAAAACTAGAGCCACGAAAACATTCAAGAGAATTTTAGGGGAAAATTTAATAAGACTTCAACTTATTTACTAATTTTATATAACCAGAAATTTCACCTAATAATGCTGTCAATGTGCAGCATAAAAGCATGTTTGAAATTTGTATAACATTTTGCTGATTTACAAACTTATAGAACTTAAATTTTCTAATTTGTGTTTTCTTTTAGATCTTATAGAAAATTTCAGCTGTAGCCCTTGGACTAGAAGCTGAAATAATAGAAGCTGTGTACGATGCATTAGGGTATTGAAGAAAATTAATTTTTGAATTAATATTTGGAATAGAAGGAAAGGTGACTGAAAATGGGGCGGAAGAAAATACAAATCACACGCATAATGGATGAAAGGAACCGACAGGTAAATAAAAATTTTATCTGCTTAATTGATGTAAATATTTTTTAAAAAGGAGTGTAGGGTTAAATGATTGAATTTTTCTTAAATTTAATGTCAAGTCTACATATTTTATTTCCAGACTAAATTAAATATTTTAGCAATCAAAAACTTTTGGCTTTTCATAATGTGCTTTAATAAGAAATGTGTTTCTTATTTCAGAAATCGTATGTGTTAATTATAAAAACATAGACAAAAAGGAAAGTAAAATCACAGTTCTATCACTACTGTTCATTGTGTATGTAGAGTTTAGATTTATCTTTTATATTTAATCTACCCATTTGATTGATACTTATCTGTATATTGATATTTTAAGTTATCACCTTTGTTTTCATAAGTAAGTAATACCTAAGTTAACTACAGCTATCAATAAATGTGTTCTGGTTCGTTAAGTTTTCTGGTTAACCAACAAATGATGAGGTTTTTTTGTTTTGTTTTGTTTTGTTTTTTTAAATACTCTCATTATCACAAATACTCTAAAACATTTATTATATATCTCAGCTTTAATTAATAAAACATATTGAAGTTAACTCTCAGTACTAGTGCCAGTAAACCCATACAAATTCACGACCATTATAATGATGCTGTGGTGCGTGAATACCAAAGTCCGAAGGGTCTAGAGCAGGGTTGGCAAACGCGGTCCATGGGCGGGCGGCCTGTTTTAATAAATAAAGCAGCGTGAGAACCCTGCTGTGTCCGCTTGTTTCCATGTTGTCTGTGGCTGTTTTCACACTGCAGCAACAGCGTTGAGTAGTGTCCCCAGAGACTGTGTGACCCGTAGGCCTAAAGTCTTCACTGTCTGGCCCTTCACGGAAAAGCTTGCCAACCCCTTGGTTTAAAGGAAAGAAGAAAAAATGATTTCATAGCCTTTTGTAAACAAACCACTATTCAGAGCTTGGAAAGGTTCCGTATCAGGAGAAGGTTCCAGAACAGCTGGATTCTGGAAGCTCACCAGGAACAGAAAACAGTACTCAGGATGTACTCTGCGAAGTCTGAGTAGCTGTTCGCCTGGTGGTGTGGATGGCGATGGGAGGCTCCCCTCAGCCGAGCGGCCGGTGGCGAAGGTGGCGGGAGTGGTCAGGCCTGCCCGCGGACTGCATCGTTTCAGCTCGTGGAGATTCCGTAGTTGGAGTGGAAGGCTCGCAGCCACGCGCTGTGATTCATTACAGATCTTGACAGAATAGGGAAGACTGATAAAGTAACCGTTGCATCGTTCCAAAGGAATGATTCTGAGCAAGGTCGCAAGTAAACGTCCCTTCACAGATCTGAGGATTGTGATGTGTAGAGGAGGCATGGGGTGGACCTGCTTCGTGAACATGTGCTGTAGCCATGTGAAAGACGGCCGAGGAGGGAATAACCTACCAGCAGCAGGTAGCGAAGCACACGAGATCCCCTGAGCTCCCATCACCCCATAGAGAGTTATGTGTCTGTCGAGCACAGGTAGCCTGGACCTGCCTGGCAAGGACTCCGCGTCTTTAGAGGGGAAGGGGAACGAGGGACATGGAAGTGACCGTGCGAGGCAGCCTTTCAGGGAGAGGAAATGACCTTGTTAAAAAGGTGGAGCTTGCCACTGTAGCTCAGCAACTGAAATGAGCCTGTTTGTACTTGGAATTTACCTGCTAAGTCAGCTTCTTGCCAAGCTGCCAGACGGGGTAAGGGTTTCTGAATTTCTCCTCGTGTGCTTTTGGCACAGACACAGTTTGTCCACACTAAAAGGGTATATTAATAATACCGATTTCTGAATTTTTGCATTGAGCTACAAGTTGCATTATTATTGCATTAAGAGAGGAAGTCTTGTTTCTATGCAGAAGAGATGTCATTGTTTTCATTCAAATTTGAACACCCACTATATGTATCTGAGAGACTTAGGCACTGGGACTCATTAAAATACGTAGTCTACGTAGGAGAGTTAAGAATATGGCAAGAAGAAGTAAGATTGGGTGACGGAGAGAGTTCGCGAAAGGACCCACAGGCCTCTCTCTGGTGGTGCGGTGTTGGGGAGCAGTCACTGAAGGGGATCATAGCGGATGGAGTTTTGAATGACCAGTGCTTGAGCTGGGAAGATAAAGTCACACTTCAGGTCACTGGAACGATATTTCCCTCTGTAACCAAGCTCCCTCCCTCCCTCCTTCCCGTCTTTCCTTCTTCTCTTTCTCACTTTGTTTTTCATTTTCTTTTACTTTTTTTTCTGGTCTAATGAAAGTGAAATGTTACCTGTTTTTGAGGTTTGCCCATTTTCTGCTGGGTTGTTGACCTTTTTTTAGAAGTTCTTCATAAATTCTGTATGTATTTTATCTGTATCAGACAGTATCTTTCAGTCTTAAACACTAAACGCTCTTATGTTAGGACTCATGGTGTTTTATAGTGGTTTATGTCGCCTTTATAAATAGATCGTGAACACTTTAAAATGTGTTAAGGCTTGCTTTATTTCCTGAATCTGATCAGTTTCTGTGAATGTTACAAGTGGACTTGAGATAAATGTGTATTCTTTAATTGTTAGATGCAGAATTCAGTATATGTTTATTAGGCCAATCGTATTTTGTATTCAAATCATCTATATTCTTTGTGATTTTTTTTTTTTTTTGGCTCATTGAGACCTATTAATAATTGCACTTAACCACAGTAGTGGATTCGTCAGTTTCTCTATTTTATTAGTTTAATATATGTCGTTTTATATATTTTAAGACTGTTTCATTAGGCTCATACATTAGTGTTATACCTTTTTGGTGAATTTTCAGTACACATTGACCCTCTCTATCCTCAGTAAATCACGTTTGTCTCAAATCTACTCTAACATTTGTATAGCTACACCTCTCCTTTGACTCGTATTTTCTTGATAAGTCTGTTTTTCCCCATTTACTTCCCACCTTACCATGTGTCCTTATGCTTTAGGTCTATCTTTTGTAAATCGTGTGTGAGTGAATTTTTTTTTTTTCTTTTTGGTTCAGTCTGATAATACCTCTTGACTTGGCAGTTTAGTTGAATTATATTCTTTGTCATCTTTTGTATATTTGGACTATTATATATCATTTTAATTGATTATTTCAATTTGTCAGAGGGTCCCAGGCATCAAAAAAGTCACAGTTAATCATTTCACTGCTCATATCCTTAAAAACTCAGATCGCAGCTTTCCACGGAGTCCTCCAGGGAGAAAAGCAGTGGAAGAAGGTACTTCCTCTGGGTGGAAATCTCCCAGCCTTAACCTGGGAGGTTTCGAGTCCCAGTGGTTGGGAAGTCGAGGCCGGAGCTTAGTCCATCCCTACCTGTGTTTTTTCCACTCCCATCCCTCGCAGTGCCTCTGCGGTGCTCGGATGTCATCTGGGGGACACCTGTCTGCACTAGCGCTGCCACCAGTCTCCGCGGTGAGGCGGCAGGCATGGGGTGTCCCAGCGTGGAGACGGGAGGCACCGGCTGAACCCAAACTGCTCCTAAAACCTTGTCTTATCATAGCCCCACTGGCTCGCTCTCGTGCAGGCGACCCGCCTCCACACACAGCTGCCCCCCGCCGTGCACACGAACTCCAGCAGCGCGTCTGGGGGCCTCGCGCGTTCCTCCAGTGTTCCTTAGTATCCACAATACTTTTAGTTCCACGGGGTTAACTGGGGGAAATAGATCCTGTGTCAGTATCTTGCCAGGAATCTACATTTGGTATTTTTTTAAATATTGTTAAAATTAGTAGTTATATTCTGTTGTAATTATAATTTCCATGATTTTTTAATCATAGTTCAAAATTTAAAGGATTCATTATCCCCAGTTCTTTACTGTAGCTTTTGTATTCTTTTGTTAATCTAAGTTTTTGGTTTATGGATTTATTGAGCAAATTTTTTTAGCACCCTCCCCAGTGTCATGTGGCATTTTAGAAGCTGAGTATATATAGCAATGAAGAAAACTGAAAAAAATCCCAGTCTTTTCCAATATATGTTCTACTTAAATGACTGGATGTTTTCAGCAAGTAGTTTTGTTTTTCTTCTGAGAAGGGCTCATGGGTATTCTTACGTTCCAGAGTATTCTTACGTTTGAAAATGTTTGTTGCCTTTAGACTTGAAGTATAACTTGGCTAGGCATAACATCCTAGGATCCCATTACTTTTCCCCAGAACATTGTAGAGATTATTTCAAGATCTTCTGGCTTTGATTGTTGCCAGAATTATAACATCAGACAGATTTTTTTTTTCTCTCTCTTCCTAAGAAAGTGACTTGATGTTCAGTAACTTAACCAGAAAATTTCATGAGTTTGATTACTGATTTTTTTTTATTGTCTGTTTTGATTCTTTGAATTTTCTTGTTGTGGCTTTGTCTGTTACGATTTTTTTTCTCTTCTGATTCTTTTCTGAGTGATACTAGCTCAGGGTTTAGGTCATTTAGTTATCTCTTACTTATTTGGCAGTGATATTAGGTACAAGTTAAAAATGGCTTTTCTGTAAAATTTAAAACGGGGGGGTGTCTCTACTGGTTCCCCCCCCTTCTTTCATGGCCTTCCCACACTTCTGAATCTTATAGCACCAATCAAAGGACCTTTGGCTAGACCTTCCCAGGACTGTGACATTGCCACTTTTGTCAAGAAGTCTAGGTTAAAGAATTTCTGGAGAGAGTACAAAATAGGAGAACCGGCTGGGAGGCAGGCCGTGTGCAGTGCATGAAGTGGAGGTTTCGGAGGTGATGTGATTATTGGTGATGACAGTTAAAGGTGTGATCATTTGGAAGTTGGGACATAAAGGAATTGAGAGATCAAAGTATTTGCAATGATTTTTTTTTTTCTGCAGATGCTGAAGTCTCCAGAGATAAGAACAGGGCTAGACAGAGAAGTCAGGTGATACTCATCAGCGCGTGAGAGAGAGCAGCCAGCGGGTCACTAGTGCCCACCGCAAGGAAGGGTCTCGGGTGGTATACATTTCAGGGCATGAGTTTAAAAACATACAGAGTTTTTGAAGGGGAAGGAAGGAAAAATAATTTGGAAGGGAGAGTAGGGAGCAAAAAGAACACTTCTAGGCCCTTGAATGTAGGGAATGTAATATTTAAAAACAAACCAACAAAAAATTGGTCTCCACTTGAGAAGACTTTAGGTGACAGGTTTTAGTTGGAGAAAGAAATATTCAGAGGGCATTAGGGAATTTGCTAATCCGAGACTGAATTTCAGTGGGTGCCGTAGAAGGGCTCGTTGGGGGGAGTGTGAGCTAAATTAGTGGTGTGCTTGGTCACCGAGAGAAAAGTCTGAGTAACGGTGGTCACTAGAGGTGAGACTGGCTTTCTGATGGCAGCCATTTTAACTGGACAGTAAGGGCCCGCTGCTCGGCTGTTTCCTTGCCCTCTGCTGTGGAGTGGCAGCCGAGGATAGTGCAGTACCTCGGAGGAGGCGGCTCTGTCGGGGCCCCCGGCGGTACAGGGTGCACGCAGGACTGCAGTCGTGTGGCAGGCGGGGGTGAGGAAGAGGCCCGTGTGGGGCACGTGGCTGGGAACCTTTCCCACCTGCGCAGTCTGACTCAGTGTCAGAGTGACTCATCTGCACAGAGCCTGTATTCGGGTACCACCGGTGCTTTTAATCAAAATACACTTCTTTTCCTTGATCGTCTAGGTCACTTTTACAAAGAGAAAGTTTGGGTTAATGAAGAAAGCCTATGAACTCAGCGTGCTCTGTGACTGTGAAATAGCACTCATCATCTTCAACAGCTCCAACAAGCTGTTCCAGTACGCCAGCACCGACATGGACAAAGTGCTCCTCAAGTACACGGAGTACAACGAACCTCACGAGAGCAGAACCAACTCCGACATCGTCGAGGTAACCACCTAGTAATGCCTGCACTGCGGGTGACGCTTTTGTTTAATAACTATAATGTCAGCTTGCTCGTTACATCCGGAATATAAATCGGTTACATCTTTTCTCTGAGTCATTTCTTAGAAGGATCTAATTGTTGCTCCATGATGACCCACTTACTGTTACAAACATCCTGTTCATTGAGACAAAATAAACTAGGCTGTTGTGCTGTGTACGCAGCGTAATCACTGTGATTACTTATATTAGCTTTTAAATTAATATTCTAAGAAACTGTCACTTTTGACAGTATGAAGTTAGTTTTGATACATCTTAATCATTTCATTACGTCGGTGACTACCCACAACTAAACACTCGTGAAATGAAAGAAAATGATGTAAATATTTCTGTTTCGTTAATAGTGCTTTAGTTGGGGGAGAAAGGTGTCCTCATTTTCTCCTACTCTGCTGCCCTGCAGTGTCTGTCATCATCCTGCCAACCGAATTAAGTGAAAAGAAAAGGGATTTTTTAGAATGATTGTTGCCTATTCAGAAAGTGTTTTTAAAACAAAACCTTCAAAAAGGAGAGCTAGTATACTTCCTCTTTAATTCTTTCCTGCTGTAAAATCTTATAAAAGCTAACTTTCCATGTGTACTTTTTTAAAATTAAAATTATTGGGGTGGGTGACATTGGTTAATAAAATCAAATAAGTTTTAAGTGTACAGTTCAACAGTATGTCATATGTTATACATATCATTGTGTGTTCACCACCCAAAGTTAGATCTTCCGTCACCAAATACGCGACCCCCTTTGTCCTTACCTACCTCCCGCTCCCCCCTTCCCTCTGGTAACCACCAGTCCACTGTCCGCGTCCATGCGCGGTCTCTGTGTGTTTGTTGATTGGAGGTTTTAGTATATTTCTAATAGCATTTTGAATTAGCTTCATATTTACTTTTGTCTTTTTTGTTTATATTTAGAGATTTTACTTATTTTCTAAAGTTTTTTTCACTGCTTGATGTATACTTTGGCTTAGTTTTGTAATGTTAGAAAACTATTTCAGTAAATTAGGTGTTTCTTTGGCGAAAGTACTGAAACCATATGAAATGATGCAGAACTAACTATAAAAAAAGAAATGAAGTTCCAATCTAGATTTTATTTGAATAATTGAAATTAAGATAAAGAGACCTTATTTTATTGTGCAGGAATCAAATTTATTTGCCTCCACAGATTCTGTTACAGTTCTGAAAATACGTTTTAAATTTCCCCTATGTTTCTTTGCCTTAGCCATCCCTTTTTGGGCAGTAATTGTTACTGCAAAACAAAAACAAAAACAAAGCTACTTGTATCAAAAGAGCAGTTAATAATAACTTTTTAGCAGTTAATCAATAGCTTGCAAAGAGAAGTAAGAGTCTAGCGTAATTCCAGCCCGGACTCATTTCTGCGGCTCGATTTGGCCACAGCGAGTGGCTCAGCGCCGTGAACCGCCCCCGACGTGTGTGAAGCTTTTGATTTTGCTTTTGTTGCTCGCTGCAGTTAAGCTGCACGATTACCCCTTAACGCCTTTCTATCACTTGTGGATTATTTTACATCATTTAGCATTCATGGTACATCTTACCACTTACGTGCAGTGCAAACTGTTTCGTAGATACTTTCATGACGCATTTTTGAATTGAAATTTTAGAAATTGGGATGATTATTTGGCGAGCTTTGTAAGAGACTTCGTAACTGGAGTTCCTTGAAATGGAGAGTATCCTAGTGTGTTTAGTTTAAAAATGACACCTTATTTTTAAAATCTCTATTTTTTTTTTATCAAAAGTCCCATTGCCTTAAGTCAAACAAAGCAATAGAGTTGACTTTAATACTGTCAACAAATAGATGTTCAGGCTGGCTTTGCGATGGGAGCCAGCACGTTCCTCACCCCGACCGCTCTGCTCTTCTAATGCAGCGGTTGTCCTTGGCCCCCCGCAAGTTGAGGGCCCTCCGCACAGCCTGGAGCTACTTCCTTAGAGAGTATGAAGAACATAGTCTGATGTAGTCTTCCCAGAATCGTCCGACTACCTCAGCCTCCCTCTCTGTTGTGGTCAGCAGTCAGAGGGAGGAGAGTATATCCCAATCCTTTCGTTAGCGGTCTCCCATTTACCATCTACTTCCATATGAAGGAGAACTTCTGCAGCTCAGTGCAGCTCAGTTATCAGTTGGGTTATTGCTCTTTTCTTTTTTAATTGCAGTTCTTAGATATAAGCGAACATACATCTTACCAGTAGTTTTTAATGAAGTTCTGAATTACATAAATGCAATGAGAGAAGACGCATTGGATTATAAGGGATCGATTTGTGTGGCAGTATAAGTATTCAGGCGTAGTTTGCCTTTCTTGTATGTGAATGTCTTGCTGAGTTAACCTTCGTTATAAGACGATGGTGGTTACACGTGTAAAGTTCTTCCACATGGAAAGGCGATGCAGCTCTGTTCTCGCTAGTAGCGCATGCCTGTCTCGAGTCCTTTTTGTCCGTGGCGGTAATGGCTTACACTAATGCAGCTACAAAGGTGGGCGTGAGCCACATTAAGTTTACTGGATGAGAGTAATGACGGACACTTAGAGCCGCCTTATGGGCCAAACGCTTTTAAGTGCTTTACGAATATCTCATTTAAGGATATCCTTAGAATACCATTATAAGTATTTTTTCCTTTTTCATATAGTTTCCTTTCGAACAGTCATAGTAATTGGAAGCAAACTTTTTGATGTCTGTCATTTGACAAAACTATTTGAGGGCCTCCTGTGTGCTACAAGACTGTTCTTTCTACCCATGGTTTTGTAAACCGTTGAGATACACTCTTACCAACTGAAGATTTCACATCTATAAACTTCTAACACGGTGTGATGTTCTGGACTGTTAGCCATATCATCTCATCAGAGCTGATGAGTACGTCACCGTCAGGCAGAGGCACAAACAGCTGCACGTGAGCGATTTAGAGTGTTTCCTTTTGCAATATGATCGACAATGAAACTAACTGAAAACTTCATGAACAGCTTTCCTAGGCCTCGAACCTGAATTCACCGATTTCCTATCGCATATGTTAATCTTTAAAGTCAGCAGGGTTTTACTTTCCCTCCTATTTCTAAAATGTCCTTCGACAGAGTCTTGACTATATTTAAATGGAATCTGTAGATGCGTTTGTTCTTCTGTGTCCTCCCCACAAGCCCTTTTGGGACGCGCTGTGAAGAGGAGGAGGATGGGTGCCCCTGTGTTAGCCGCTTCTGCCTGTGCCATAGTCTGCGTCGTGCCTGCGGCATCAGACCCGGTGCTCCAGTAGGGAGCACTGCGGAGTAAATACTTATTAAGCTGTCGCTCTCTGCGTGCTGCGCGCACACACTGCCTCTGCTCTCACCCAGGGCGTGGGAAACCGCGGCGCGGCGGCCTCTGTCCTTGTTCTTCCTGGTCTCACGTTACCTGTATTTTCAAACTCGTTTCTTCAGATCGCAGTCCACTTTAACGTCTTAATTATAGCTGATACAGATTCTTTTCGTATAGCTTTTGTTTTAGTCAGCAGCACTTACGTATTCTAAGTGGCATTTCGTATTTTCAGTTAAGGTCTGCAGTGTCTCGTGGGATGTGTGTACCTCCCACGCTGATAAAGCCAAGTACATGAAGATGGAAACTTGCACATTAGTCAGTCAGGAGATTGTCGTTAAGGTAAACCTTACAAGAGACTTCATAACTGGATTTCTTCGAAATGGAGAGTATCACTGCTGTGTTTAAAATGACGACCTGCTTGAAAATGTTTATACACTACTTTTCAGAAATGTTATCTGTGCAAACAAATGAGGTTTACCAAATTGCCTAAATTCCATTAGGAGACAGACATTCTGCAGAGAATGTCGTCAAAGGTAGACATTGTATATGTTCATGTTATTAAGCCTTGATACGAAAATAAGTGGCACACTTTTGTTTGGGCCTAAGAAAAGTAGTAATTTAGTTGAAATGTACAAAGAATGTTTTAACTCCCAAATTTTCTTTTCAGTAAATTAAGATTTAAAATCTTGCGAACCATATTGTGTAATTATACAAGAATATTCAATATACTTTAGAGTATTAAAACCAGAAATGAAAACCACCAGTCCAGTTAGTTGCCATTGTTCATACACTTGTGTTCATACATTGAACTTAAACTCGCACGGAAGGGTTCTGCATCAAAATAAATGCTAAAGGCGTGAAGCGAGGATTTTAGCTGCTACACAGTAAATGCCTGAGATTACTTTTGCGTCCAATTTTCTTCTTTCATTTAACTAGTACTGCTCATAGTATTTTTTAAAAAATAGCTATGAGTTGGCGGCATCGGAGAACATTCAGTAAATAGCGTATGTGGTGATTCAGGTCATTGCACTGTCATTTAAGGATGTAAATACAGGGGCCATGGGCATTTATCTCTCTCATTAATATGTTGTGAGCTGTTCCCAAATAGAGTTGTTTCCTTCGCCACAGGAATGCTGCATAACAGTACTTAAAAAAAAATTCCACTTGCATTATCTCATTTGATCTTCATATTCAAGGTGAGCTTTTTCAGAAGTAGAAGTTCAGACTCAGGTTAAATGACTTGTCCAGAGTCATTTAGCAGTTAGTGGCAGCAGAGAGATTAGAACTTGGGTCTTTGACATCACGCCCTCCCTTTGCTCCCCTGTTCACTGAATCCATCGGAGCTCTGGAACATTTCACTGTAAACAGATAAGATTTTATATATGTACTGGTAATGTATAACGTGTAGCAAGCATGAATAAGTTTTCTTCAAAAATGAACAGAAAATTAGGATAGTTGCAATAAGAATTATAGATAACATTTATCAAGTACTTAATATGACTTGGTACTTTCCTAAGGACTTTTATTTGTTATTAAGTCCCTCTCTTGTCCCCATTTCACAGTTGAGATAATTGAGGCACGGTGATAAATGAAGTAAGATGATGATAATTCAGATTCAAAAGAAAAAGACCATCCACTTTTTTTGAGTCTTAATCCCTACTTACTTTCAAATTA